CAATTCCTTTAAATTTTGTCTTGCCATCATTACAATTGAAGTTGCTGTAACTTCTGACAAAGGACTAAAATCAGTTGCATGATTTATTGTTAATTTTGTAATTGATGATAATAGATTATTTTTATTTATTAAAGAAGAAAAAGAGGAATTGGGTGATGATGGTGGCGATGGTGGCAGTGATGGTTCTGGGAACATGAAATTATTTATATCTTTTTCTTGATAACAATTTACTAAAGTTAATGATTTTAAATTGTAACATTTTGCTAAAATTTCCAATGAATTCCAATTGATAAACATTTTTCTAAGATCTAATTCTGTTATACTATCTGTTTGACTTGCTAAAGCTGAGAATATTGAAACAGAACTTATTGGATCAAATATTCCCGAGTAAGGTAAAGTGGTATAAATAAATTTTAAATTATTTTGTGATTCAATCAATGATTGTAGTTTACTTGAAAGTATGTTGATTTCATATTTTTGCTGTGGAGGTGATGGTGGAGTAATCACCAATGTGTGGATATTTTGTGAATTCTTGATTATAACATCTATCAGTTCAATCATATAACCTTCATTATCATTTGATGAACAATCTATTTGAAGTTCAGTGAGTTGAGAAATTGATTGCTGAATTCCTTCAAAACTTGAAAAATTTGGTATATTGTAACAGGTTTGTAATCGACAATTCAAACTTTTCAACCCATAATTGTTGTTGAATAACATTTCAAACATAGCTGATTCCAATACAGGAATTGTAGTTTTATGACGTACTCTATAATCTGCTGTCTCATTCCACCAATGAGAAATTGAATATTGTACATTACCAATGTCAAGTTCTTTCAGAAATGATGGATAATCAAATAATGCTTCTCCGTAATAATTGATCATATCATAACCCTCATCAATTAAATACTGTTTTTTATCTTTTGAAAGACATGCAATATATGTACGTATTAAAAGATATCCTTTATGATGATCTTGTGGCCATTTCAAATCTGAAAATGGACAACTCCATAAAAGTTGTATGGCTATACTACACAAAGTACTATTCACCCTGGTCCAAGAGAATAAAGATGCTCTATCCTTGACATTTTTCAAGATTTCTTCGATACAATCTGATGGGAGGGATTTTTTTTTTGTGGTAGAAGAAAATTTATTGTGTTTGTTGTTGTGGTTGTTGTAATTGTTGTTATTCATTTTTGATGAATGATTATTTTGAACTCCTACAAGTTTTTTTTTTTTAAAAGATATATAACTTTTATTAAAAAAGCAAACAAAAAAAGAATTATAGACATTTATTTATACATACCAATTGTTGGAATGACAAGCATTGTTTCAGATATAATTTAAAAAAAGATGATAAATTTTCTATTTTTTATCAATTTTATTTTTTTGTTTGTTTAGTCTGATTTTTTTTTTTTGTTTTGTTTTTTTATTTATTTAGTCAATTTTTTTGATTTTTTGAAAAGGAAAATTTTTAAGTTTATTTATACTACATAGTTTGAATTAACAAGGAAATAAAATAAAAATAATTTAAGCATATATATAATAATAATTTTAATATTTATGTAGGGGAACGTACAAATATTGTTTTGATGAAACAAATAAACACCAATACCTTCTCTATTTACATGCAACTCAAAACAAATTTGGAGAGTAATGCTGTTATCTATCGTTCCATAATAACCCATAAAAAAGCAATGTTAAAGTAACTTATTTAGTTGGTGCATAGGTGGGTTCATGCGATTTTTTAAAAATAAATCTATTTATATCACGTGTCACTCTCACACAAACTTAAAAGTTGAAGTAACATCTATATACTATAGTCATGATGATGTTGTATATATATTAATATATATATAATGCGTATATATAATACGTATAAATAAATAAAATAAATAAACTTTTTTTTTATATATATATAAAAAAAAAACCCCCTAATTTTTTACTTACTATTCGTATTACAAATTCCACGCGTCTACCCATTTTACCTACAGGCGAACACTTGAAAAATTTTCTTTTCTCAAAAAAAAAAAAAAATTCAATCTACTACACGATAACAATGAACAAAAACTTGAGTTTCCATTTAAAGATTCATTGAATAAAATAAACGTGGATGGATGCTGGATGAAACCTCTAACATTTCCTCCCAGGAAACGGGACTCGACTACTTATTGTTATAAAGAATATTTGAATAATGAATATAAAAATATTTTTTATGTCATTGAAAGGATTTCTTTCTAGTCTCTTTGAGAGTTGTTCATTCATTAAAAGAAGGTGTCTCGATACAAGGTAATAGTTATTAATATATAATTATCGTCCTTTTTATTATCATTAATGATATGTTATTGTAGTTGTTGTTTTCCTCATAACTTCATCCTCCAATTACTTATCTATTATCAAATTTGACCATTTCCTGAATCATCCTCATTATTACTATTAGCCATATTATAAACTCTTTAAATTGGAACTTTTTATAATATTATATGAGAGGAGCAAGGAATTTTAAAAAAAGGTATTACCAAAAAGATCTTTTCAGTTAACAACAAAGTAGTACTAGTAATAGTAAAATCATTGTCAGAAAAAAATCTTTTGCATTATTATTAGCAACATCACCGTTATTATTTATTATTCATTTTAACATCACCAGCAGATAATTGAGCCAAATTAGAAATAGTTTTCGTATATATTTATTACGTACGATTTCGATGTAATTTTTTTATTTTAACTCGGAAAATTATCAAATATGCATCTCTATTATAAATGCTGCATAATAATAAATTTATATTGATACATTTGCTTTTTTAATTTATTTATTCATCTAATTTTTTTTATTGTAATATTGAATCAAGATAGTTTTCGTTGTTCAAATTCTAATTGTTTTATTTATTATCACTCCATCAATTATTTAAATAATTAATATTAAATAATTAAATAAATAATGATGCGTTTGTGATCAAAAATATCCGGTTTGGAAAAAATTTTTTTTATTTATTATCAAAAATCTTCAAAAAACATTGGACCAAAAATTTTCTTAAAAATAATTCTTTTGGAATGCCTTTATTTGTTTTGGTTTAGCTCTTCATTTTTTTTTAAAAAAAGCAAGCTTTTATGTTAATTGAAAGAAAATGATTAATTATTTGCTAAAAAGGAAAAGATTATGGGTGTTTTTTCAGTAAACGAGAGAATAATGACAATATTTACCGAATAAAAATGATAAAGACGAGTTAATTTGCAGTACAAATAACTTCTAATCGAAAACCAAAAACTCTTACCACACCTACCTCAGTTACACTAAATCGAAGTAGAAATATGGTTATACCCAAAAAAGGATTTAAATGTAACCGAGGTAGGCGTGGTATTCTCGAAAATCTAATTCAGGGATCATTGCTGCTCATCAAAGGATGATAATAATAACGAACCTTGTGTTTCGAGACGGGATATCAGGAAATGATGAATGGGATTTAGGAAGGGGCACAGATTTTTTAAATGGGCCAAGGAAATGCCTTATTGCCCATTGGCTTGAAAAGTAGGTTAATCTTTATGCCGATCCCCGAATGAGGAAATATTCTATTAAAAGGTCAGAATTTTTCCCTGGAAAAGGGAAAAAACGTATGCCAAGTATAATAAAAAATTTAAATTTGGACAATAAACTTTATATATTTTTATATTAATTAAAGATGGAAAATTTATCAAAAGTTTGGTCTTACTTGGTCATGCAAATTCACATAATCAATCACAAAGATGCAATTAAACTCGAGAATTGGAAATAATATGTTACACGTGTTTTTTATAACTAGAAATAATGTGATATTTAATATTTTACGGAAAAATGGTCGATTCCTAATACTAATACACCAATACCAATACTAAAGTAATTTATAATAGGATTCCGCATCCTATGTTTGTAGGAATATGAAGCTTGACATTACCGCCAATGGAATTTGTTGCATTAAATGAATTAACAGAATTTATTTCCAAGGCTTTGTTATCAGATCTAACAGAAATTATTTCATTAGGTTACCCAACCAACAGCTGTAGTATTTGAATCATATCCGCTGGTTTTATTTCCATATCAAAAAGAAAGTTGATATAGTAGATAATGGAAGGAATTAAGTAGGCAAAATACAAATATGAAAGATTATTTATTCAAACTGTAAAACATAAATTAACAAGTTTTCATTAAATTACCAATTAATAAATTAATGTATTCCCGAATCAAGTCTTTGAAAATATCTAACATTAGCTCTATGAATTTGTCCCGAAGCACCATTATTGATACAAGTAATATCAGAAAATAAATTGTGAGGAAAATTAATTATTTTTGCTTCGTCCAACCATTCCTTTGGATCTTTTGATGATCCTTTAATTATTATTTCAGAATCATTGTTATCGTCATTGTTATCGTTGCTGTCGTTGTTGCTGTCGTTAGTTATGTGCGGTGCTGGATTTATTAAAATTATTTGTTTTATGAGTTTTATTATTATTATGTGGATTTTTTTATTTTTAGAAGATCTCTTTTTAACGTTAAAAAAAATCCATAAGTGCTTTTGTTTTTGCCTTCATTGTTATTTCTCACTTCAATGAAATTTACACCCAAATAAAGAAAGAAGAAAAGAATTTTCTGAATTGTCAATTATTTTTTTTGATTCGTCAAAATAATGAAGATGACCTTTTCAATGAAAAAAATTAATTTGGCAATTTTTGTAAAAACGAATGCAAGATACACTAAATATATATTTATATAACAAATAGTAATAATAGCTAATAGTATTTTGCTGCTGTTCACAAAAAGGATTGTTATTAAATTGTGTGTAGCACTTTCAAAAAAATAATCTCGTAATTTACCAGCTAATTAAATATTTTAACTTTGAACCCCTATAACTCCACAAAAATTTTCTAACTCCTAGTTTGAAAGTCGCGTGTCTTTAAAAGATCATCAATTTTAGTGGTAGCTTTAGATACCTCGCATCATATTAATACTAATTATAGTAATAATATGATGCGAGCAGTGTTGGAAATTTGATGATCCCATGATCTGCAAAAAAAATTTTGTGCACATTATGATCAAGAATTTTTATTTAATATAAAATTTACAAATTATAAAATAAATAATTTATCTCCTATTTTTTTTATTTTCCCAACATTCATATGCTTTCTTAAAATTAAAATTTTCAATTTCAGGTCCATTTAATAAAATCATTAAATGACTATGTAATGTATCAATATTCATCTTGTTTCTCAATCTATTCTTAATCAATTTTGTTTGAGAAAATATTCTTTCTACATTAGCATTTGAAAGAGGTATGATAAGAGCTATTCTAACTAGGAGAGATACATTTGGGTAATTAAATGAAAAATTTTCATCTGTGTCAAAAATAAATTTCCAGAAATTAATAAAATCTATTTCTTTAGATTTATTAAGCTGGAGAATATATTTTACTAAATACCATTCTTCAATGAGTTTGTTTTTGTCAATAATTTCTTGAAATTCTTCTTCATCCACAGTTTTAATTTCTCCATAAAATTTACCAAGAAATTCTATTTCTTTATTTCCATACAAGCTTAGTTAGTTGGTCATCATTATCTGGAATTTCTTTTGGATCAAAAATGCTAAATGAACTATATAATTCTGTTTGTGGAAATCTTTTCTGGATAGCATTAATTATTGCAATTGAATATTCTTTAACAAATAATGGAGAATTGTGATTATAATGATTTAAATATTCTCTGAAAATGGAACCATTGTTAGGTGGAAATTCTTCATTACCAACAAATTCATACTCTATTACTTTAATTGTATTATCAAGATTTTTTTTAAATTGTGATAATGATAAAAAATCCAATTGAAATATATTGATTAATTTTTTTAGAATATTTGTTAAATCAGCAAAGTACATTGTTGCTAAAATAAAATCTTGATCTAACTGATCATACAATAATTGAGCTTGTCTATCACCTTCTTTGGCATCATCATCAAGGGCTGCAAGTACAGAATCCATAATCCTATATAAATTACTAACAGAATTAGAAAAGGACAACCATCGAGTGTCACATAAATTTAATATTACTAGTGATGGTTCATCATTAATATCCTGCATCATTTTTAACAAGTTTTGTCTCTTATATGATTTAGAAAAAAATGCATATAGATTTTTTAAGGTTTTTTCATATTTTTCAAAATACAAAACTTCACTTGAAGCATCTTTGCCAGCCAGATGAAGTCTGTGTGATATACAATGATTAGATGATATGAAAGGATTTGTTTTTTTAAGCCTTGCACTAACACCACTTTTATAACCAGTCATATTAGATGCACCATCACTTCCAA